CTGGACCTCAACCGCAAGGATCCGATCGCAGTGTGCACCGCTGGACCTCAACCAGATAGTTTGCCAGATAAAATCCACAAACACACAACAGACACACAATCACAAACACACGACCACAAACGCGCAACCACAAACACACAACCACAAACACAATCACAAACCCACAATCACAAACACAATCACAAACACACAACTACAAACACATCTACAAAGACACAATCACACACACATAACCACAAACACAAAACCACAAACACACAACCACATCACAAACCCACAATCACAAACACAATCACAAACACACAACTACAAACACAACTACAAAGACACAATCACACACACATAATCACAACCACTACCACAAACACAACCACAAACACATCCACAAACACACAACCACAAACACAACTACAAACACACAATCACAAAGACACAACCACAACCACAACTACAAACACACAATCACAAAGACACAACCGCAACCACAACCACAACTACACAACCACAACTACAAACACATAATCACAACCACAACCACAACCACAAACACACAACCACAAACACACAACCACAAACACACAACCACAAACACAACCACAACCACAACACAGCACAGCACACAACCCGAGGACCCACAAACAACATCGAGAACTACAATACTAACGACATCTAACGACTATGGCAACATGCTCCTCACTATGGCATCAAGACAAAGGATTGAAATGTCATGGTGGGGATCACTCGAAGTAAAGTAATTTGATGCTGATCGTTTTTATTTTTGGACCCCTCACCCCCACCTTTGCCACCTTCCAGTCTTTTCTCCGAGGCTCTCTCTAGCGGAAGTGAACACAGAACGTGAGGGGGCCTGGATCCAGCGGCTGTATCGTTACCAGTGGGGGTATTTCGGCGAAGAGGTCATTACAGTATATTACAGTGACCTGACCCACTTGGGTTTGGACCCTATGTTTTGATAACACTCTTCAGTACCAAACACTTACACTTGGTGGGTACTATAGGTATCCTGCATCACCAACCACTATCTCCGACCACTATGACCACACCCCAGATGTTTCGGTGTTTCTGCACGATTGAGTCCAGTGCTGTATGCCTGGACCCGTACGTGGTGTTGACATGTTTTGAATTTTTTGACAGGAGGAAACACCACACGAAATAACAAAAGGGATGTATCACCCCCCATGTCCGTTTTACCAGAAGCATGCTCCATCCACTGTAAACCGATCTTTCAGGAAGAACCATACACGATCACCCAGGAGTTCAGTGGACAATCACCTGACCTGACTTATCACCGTTTTTTGAACATTTAACCGGGGGACGGGGAACACACGTTGGACCAGCAGTGGCAGGGGTTGGACCCCGAGGCTCACCAGTTTCGTGCCCGCATGGTTTAGAAGAACAGGCTCCTAATATAAGCACCCGGAGAGGAATTTCATGAAGCACCGCCTGTGAGCCGCGGAGCAGATGATTGATTGGACCTTTGGGTCGACTGGACAGTCCTGTCCACCAGAACACAGGCATTTGCAGCCATGATTCAGTGCTTCTGGAACCAATTCGGGATTGGAAGAGGATCAAAAACGATGTGCTCAGTGCTTCTGTGTATAACACACGGTGGGAAGCACACGATCACTACCCGACGCGGCGGATCCATGAAGAAGCTGAACTCGCATGGAGGCAGCACGGAGGCGGCGTACGCCCCACCTGGGCCGAGGTTCGGAACGAAGCTGCAGCTGAACGGCGGAAGGAAGCTGCAGCCGAGCACTGAAGCTGATCTCAAAGCTGAAAGAAAGGCTTCAGCAGGTTCAGTGTTTTTGAACGCATACGACTGGGAGCATGACGACGCACCAGAGTTGCAGAGGCTGCTGCTAGTCACTGGTGTCACAGGTGCATGAGGCAGCTGCACTCACTCTCTAAACAGGATCATTCTCACTGACCGTCAAGGACTGGGCGGAGATGCGCATCCGCATCGCAATGTCCAGGGCTTCGCTGGCCTTGCACTCAAGCGTGGACACCCACAGACAGCTTATGTAAGGAAGAGAGGGAACTTCCCAGCAGACCCGAGATTGACTATGGAAGACATCTCAGCTGTTCTCCAATGTCAATAGGTTCCAATCCGGATGGCCATCTATGGCCGCCACCTATCGGTTCTTTATCGCGTTCGCTGGAGTCCGAGCGAACAATTCCTAGTATGTCCTGGTCGATCGATTCCAGGTCAAAGACGGTTTTGGGGGGGGTGCAACTAGACAGGATTCAACTGATTCTACTTTCATCGCACAACCCCCCAAGCTAGCGTGGCTGACCTGGCGTGCAGGTCGCGGCTACAAGAACCGTGAGGAAGCACGGGTTTGGGCCAATGAGGCCAGCGAGGAATTGGACAGATTTGTTTGAAGAAGTAGCACATTTCCTTGCGACCCACAGTCCTTGAGTCCTGTTAACTTTTCACAGGTCTTCAACATATGTACGACAGTTCTTGAAGCAAGGGTATCTGAAAAGGGACCCTTCAACTAGCTTCATCTACACAATCCGCTTTTGTTCAGAAGAACCAAAATGGCTCGTGTCCCACCCGTTTTGCGCGATCTTCCTGGCGTCCGCTAGTCACGCCAGGCATTGACGATGTTCCGAAAGGAGGGCAACAAAAAGTGAGGGCACCTGGAGGGGCCCAGGGGTCTACAGAGGGGATTCCACCGGACTCCCGTAATCCGGGACGGACGGTTTGGTGCTGTTTGTTGCTCCCGTTTTGCAACACACCTGTTGTTAGGCAACATTTGTGAGGGATTCGGAAGATGTTGGTTTTCTTGTTGGCTTTTGCTGGCACCAACTGAACAAAAGGATTTGGACCACCAGATGGGTGGGGACGGTAAAAAATACGATGGCAGTTTGGGGGACAGCCAGATCGATCCCAAGCCTTTGTATATTGATTAAATCTTGAACAGCAGTGATTCAGTTACTCCGGTCAGAAAGTTTTTGGCGCAACTCAAAAAAACATATAGCGGGAATTAGCGGGAACAGCCGCGCCATGTAACTCCTTTTTCTCGCTATTTGGCCGTCATAGATGGCGCAACTGGTCTTTGGATTGCAGAAAATTAAAATTCTGCGGGGTGTCTGTGCGGATACTAGTTTTCCCTATTTCCCAAAAAACGTTTGGGGCCTATAGATGGCCCAGTGGCCAAGTTCTGTACATTTGGCAAAAAATGTGTGGCCCGGTACCAATATTGATTTCCTCATATTTCCTCTTGATTTCCTCTTGCCTCTTGAACTTATTCGCTTCCTTTTGATGTCCTTTTGCGTGGGGCAATAGATGGAGCGGTCCCAATCTCCACTATTTTCTGCAAAATAGCGCACAAAATCATGCAGAATCGAATTCCTGTTCTTTTAGCCACGGGGCGCATAGATGGCGCAACACACCTGAATGCCCCTGATACCGAAACCTGGCGCAATAAAAGAAGTCACCTCATCAATTTTCCCACCGGTGTACTTGAATTACAGTTGGAAAGGTTATTGCATTATATACTTTGAAGGTGCCAGCTTCTGCAAAGTGAACTCTTTGGAGTGCCATCCAGTGACCTTTTACAGGCCCGTTCGTGACCTCAAACAGGAATACTTTGGAAATGACTAGACTATGTATCTCTTGATGCTTGGCGGATGTTTCCACCATTGTCGCTGGCTGAGGACCCATTTTGGGATGTTCGTCATCCCAATCATCATCTTAGATATTGAGTACTTATGTCAATGGTTCCATAGCCAAGCAGCACGATCTAATGCCCACAACGCCCCCAACAGTTGGTCAATCTGTTGTGCAAACAGTTGGCCCAAAACAACAGGATCCTGCCCTCAGATTCTTCCCAACTCTCACCCCAAGCTTGCTTCCATTTTGCTACACTGCTACACTCCCATCCCAGAGCCTTGATCTCACATTTGGTCCCCTACCTCCCCATCGCCCACCCCAAATCTCCTGCCTCACCAACGGGCAAACGCCCATGTGTGTCGTTCTAGGTAATCGACGAACGAACGAACATAGATGAACATATGACTCCTCTGGATCGCATGACTCCTCCGTGGGTTCTCGGACAGGTCAGGATCCTGAAAAAGTCCACAGGATAAAGTTGTTGGTGTTTTTTCATGTTGTTGGACACGCTGGGACAGCCCGTTGCATCAGTGCTATTGAGCCGTTTAGATTTTTTCTTGGATGCCTCCAGGTCCAGACATTGGGGCCATGCTTCTTGTGAATTGTGGAGGAGGTCTGACAAGAAGCAGGTGTAGTTCTCTCTACCCACCACAAGTGATTTAAGTTATGATGAATGAGTTTCCTGGAACCTACTAAAAAGCAATAGTAGTATAAAGAAGCAAAGGGCATCAGGGCGCCTGCCTTTGGAGCGGGGGCCCGGGGGTCTATTCAGGTCTACTACAGTGATCTTGATCTCTCTCCCCCCGCCACTGGACGAGAACCGATGGCGTCGAAGAAACACGTCTTGAGGAAAATCCCTGAGCGAATCCACCAAGTGGCACCAAGTGGCCTCGATGAATCTGTCCTCCATCAGCTTGGGGATCACTCATGGCCAGACTAAGACGTACTGAGTGTTCGATATCTGGTCAACGGCCACGGCCTGTGCGAGGCTGTAGGAGCCAAAACCCCACCAAGCCCCCAAGCCCTTGCTAGTCGATCACTCCACCATACTCCACCCGCCACCCGAATGTGAAAAAACGCTAACGAATTGGGGCGGCGCTCCTAAAGGCGCTCACACCATCAGCATGTCCTTTCTACAAAGCTGTTCTGTTACTGGACCGTAACACGCCCGTCCCATGATCCTTTTGTGACATGTCTGTCTTAGGATGGAGGCCTACACTCTCATTTGCCTGCTGAACATCAACATGACACTGCCTCAGTGGTGCCGATGGCTGCGACGACTGGTGGGGAGCACCCCAGGTTCCACCTTCGCGTCCCTTTCGGAGTTTCCTGAAATAGGTTTGGGTCAATACAACAAAAACAGCAATCCCGGGTTAGAGAAAGCACGGTGAACCCCGGAAGTTGGTCCTGTCTCGCGTCGAGCATTCCACCGATTTGGATGATTTGGCCTCTGTGGAGATCGGAGATCCAGTGATGATAAGGGAGATCCAAGGGATCCAGACGACAGCTGTTCATTCGTTTCGTTGTACGTGATCGAACCAGAATTCCCGGTCCATCCAGCGCGCGCTGGTGTCCATAGTGGGGTGGCCAGTACGACATACGATAAGGGACGTCCTGATTGTTTTGTTCATAGTTCCAAAAAGGGTCACATTCTAAAATAATGATGTGATTTGTGTCAGACCAGGTCTACGTGTCAGATCAGAAACCATCGAACACGACCCTTTCATGAAGACGATATGTGGATTCAGGTCGGGCGTGTTATTCGTTCCACGCCAGACCTGGCCTTCCAAGACATATTGAACAAACGATAGTGACCTGGCTTTGCATTGTAAACTTGTTGGTAAAACAGCCCTCTTGTTCGAGAATTCGATCCCTTAGTTAGATGGTGGGTGGACCATCAAAGACGCAAGCTCCAACAGCCCTCGGTTACTCGCTAAGGAAGTGGAGGGGAGACAAGAAGATCAGCCCTCCTGTCGTGTGTTGATCCGGCCGAATCCTTCGTTGTGAATCCGGGAAACTGGGAGCAAACAGCTGGATGGTTCAGTGGATGATGCTGCAACAAACTGTTTTGGAATGGCTGGGGAAAGTCCGTTTCTTTCTTTGAAGATTCCCATGTTTGTGAGAACTGAAAGACCATGGATGTTGCATGTGCTGCTTTGATCAATGCATGGTTTGATGAAAGGACATGTGTCCAATGTGTATATTATGGGCACGTGGAAATCCTGGCAGAAATTCACTACTCTCTACTTGCTGATATTCTCGCACTGGATCAAATTTGATCGATCTCTGACGAACGCATGATGGAAGTAGATGGCCTGGTCCCGAAAGGAAGACGACTCTCCTCTACAAACAGTGGATGAACTCCAGGTGTGGCTTTGTGAAGTCTGGTCGGTCTTAGTCTTAGACTCTTAGACGTTGTTCTATATACGTATAACTTGTTTATCGCTGTAAACCCTAGGGATTCACCTCCAGACACTGTCAAAAGCCCTTTCAGGAGATATGGAGACATCATAAGGCATCTGAATTGGTCAAGGTGCTGCTGGGTGCTGCTGATCCGTTCACGGCACCTTGCTTTTCGCTGCACCGATCGCACGTGGTGATCGGCCTACCAACACGGTAGATGCCTTTGCCAGGTTGCCAAGATGGTTTCGACTGCGCGGTGAATGCCTGCAGCATCTTCAAAGCCATCGGTGATAGGAGACCAGCTCTAGGTGTTTGGTTTCTCTGGGCGACGAAGGGATTGGCCTTTGAAAACTCTTTCAAAACAGGCGTCTGGAGCCGTTTTCTCACCGCACCCTCTGCTGAAGATCCATTGGTTGGTAATAGTTTTTTGGTTTTGTTTTTGGTTTGCAATTGTTTTAGTTTTTTAGCGGGGTTCGGAGGGGTTGGCCAAACACGGCAGAGTAAGAGCTCAGAATGCTGATGATGTGCACTAACCATTGTGAGATCTTTCCGGATGCAAGACATGTCAAGAAGTACAGGGAAGGTCAATGAATCATGTCCATGAAGGTCACAGACAATGGAGACAACGCCCCTCATCCCGGTTTATAGCTAATCTAGAAGACTACTGTTGATGCAAGAGTTCCACATGTATACTGGGTACCACCTGCACAATGAATCCTAGAGCCTAGAGCTTCCTTGTCGTTGCTCACTTTCCGATGAAACACACCAAGCACTTCCATGCAAGGTTTAGTGTCGAAGCGTTCAAAGGTCCCATGCACCAGGTCTAGTGTCGCCAGCCGGGATCCATCTCAACAGGAATCCTTCAGCCACTTCCCAATCGATCCCCGGATGGTCGGTACTATGCGGGAATCCAGCAGGCCGCTTCCTCCAGGTGTGATGAAGCAGCTTCTTAGCCCTCAGGAGGTCTCTCCATGACCACGAGAAATGAGAGATTCACCTGCTTACATTGACATTTGAAATCAACCCCAACTGGTTGGAAAGTATGGTATGTATGATATGGTGTTGTATACTATTATATGGAACCTCCAACAGGTGGTTTCCTGGTGACAACAGGTGCCCCGAAACCACCTGTTAGGGTTCTAAGACCACCTGTTGGAAGGTCCTGGTATATACATGGAGTGTTTGGGTTAGGGATCCTTAAGACGACGCAAACACCTGGTAGGAGAGGCGAAGGCCTGGCCATGCACGGTGTGGCTGTAGCACAAGTGCGCGTGCGGCAGCCTAGTGTTCCCTCTGACCCACCGGAAGTGGATGGCATAGGCTCCGGGAAGTCCATTTGGCTCTAGGAACGGGAGGTTTTGGATGAACTCGGTCGCCAGACTCGGCAGTTTTGTGGTGAGTCGAAAGCGAGTGGATATAGCACTCCTTCACAGAGCAGCTCGGCGTGACATCCGTGCATGAGAAGACGGCGATATGGCAAAGACACACTAGTTTTGAGACCTGGGGCAGAGGAACTCCTATGCTCGAGCGAAACCAGAAAGGCGCTGGTGGCTTCAGAGCCTGCTCTCGAGCAACATTGTGATTCTCGGAGGGTCAAGAAAAAAGAATGGCATGCATGTGACACCACAGAATATACATGAATTTTAATACGGTCGTTTGTGTATGTTCATGTAATTACTTCCGGATGTCCATGCTTCTTGGGTTCTTTTTGAAAGCGATGTTCTGGGGTAAAACAAAATTTTGGTGTGTAAACCCAAAAGGTTTGGTGTGTCTCATGTGTTTAAAGGTTTGGTGTGTAAACCCATGATAAACCCCTTAAACAAAAAAAAGAGTTCGCTGAGTCAGGGTGGTCCCTTGAACTCCCACCCACCTGGGCTTGCTTTTCCGCCCAGGCGGAAGTGAACGAGGTGGTGCTGCAGGGCGCAACCAGCTGGGAGGTACCGGCTGAAATGGATGGATCGGAAGTGGATGTCTTCTTTGGAATGAAGTGGATGATATGGGATGCTTCGGAGATATTCGGAGGTATTCCATGGGGAAGTGGAGGTACCAAAATGACATGACTGAGGATTCTAGATGATTGTGAGGTTCATGATCGGGATCCGTTTTTTCCGGCTTTCCGGATGTGAAACATTAAGACATATTAAGACCTGTCCACACCGCTGGGTGTTTCTTGCCGGGGTGTTTTCTTGTATGTTTTTTCTGTTATCTTCCAGTAGGTAAAACCCAGTTATATACTCTGAAACCAGGACTCAGGACTGTTGTCCACGTCGTCCACGTCGTCTTTGTTCTGATCCTTTGCTCGTTCTTGCCTTGTGAAGGCAACCCACAGGACTTCGTGGGGTGAGGGAGACTGACTGGGCGACGAGTCGGGCCATTGACGACATGCCCCTGGTAAAGCCCAGAACTTCACACCTGAAAACCTGGCTAAGCGTGCAAACACCGTTTTCCACCTGGACCAGGGGGAAGCTGGAAGGAAAAGGCTAGAATGAAGAGCTCTCATTCATTCAGAGTTCGGGTGATTTAGGGGCTGTGAAGACTGTGAAGGCACCGAAACTGGTGGAACATCATCCCATATCATCCCCAAAAGCATATCACCTCACCACGGTTGGCTCTTTGGGGTGTTTGGAGACCCACAGACACAAGTGCGATCGACACAAGGCTAGAGACGGATGCACATCCGGCGCCGACGAATGGACAGCACTCCGGGAGAACCTTATGAACATCTGAGAGTCTTAATTTAAGCTCTTGCATCAAATGCTTGCTTGGTGGGACTGAAATGCTTGGTGAGACTGGGACCCAGGCTGCTGCAGATGAGGCTGCCCGGTCCCTCAGAGAGGAGGTCGATGTGCCAGTCGCGGTCCTGCACACGGTGGACAGTGTATCAATGAACCCATCAGGAACCCATCATCCAACATCTAATTTTGCCCGGAGAAGGCACGACATGTCCTTCATTTCAGTGTTATATGATATATTGGTTGTCATGCATTAACTAGCACCTGATGTCACAGCGGTTTAAGTTGTTTAAAATAAGCTTAAACATGTTTAGAAAAGTTGTTTGAAATAAAGTCCAAGGGGTGTCCAACGGACTACCCCACATTACCTATAGGCTTCCATTGGGCACCCCTTGGAGGGTCCTTTTAGTTGTCATGTCATCCATCATGTCGAGTTATTTGGTTTGGACGTGGTTTTGCCGACCTCCGGTGCAACGGAAGATGTCCCAGCGATGCGCGATGCCGCTCTTGGAGGCGACAGGAAGTTAACTTGATATTCACCTACCATGGATTTATATGGAATTCCATATCAATTCTCATAGATTCATGTGGATGATTGTGGATCCTGGATATGATTTTTTTTTTCATGATTGTGGATCCTGGATTCATATCGGATTCCCATGAATTCATGATTCATCTGCTTTTCCCAGTGGTGCAGCATGCATCAGGTTTCCACTCCGGTCTCCGGTCTCCGTCAGAAGTGGTCGGTCATTGTTTGGACCATTGAGCCCCTGGAGAAACCGGAGGACCATTTTCATTCAAGAAGACTTCCCCCCAAAACTGCTGGTGTGGTGCCATCCACTTCTGAGTTATCCATATGAAGTGGTACATCCCTCATTTGGATCCACATGGCCGAACCTGAGAGAACGTGATGGGAGACGCTGAACATGCAGGTTTGGGAGGGTCCAGTCGTACCGAACCTGAGAAGATTATGTGGATCCCTTCACTCAGGCCTGGGACGCTTCTCATTCACTCACTTCACGCCTTCGTATCCTCCGGTTCTTTGCACCCGAAACCACGGGAAAATGAGGTAAACTTGCCTGTGGCATGTTTCCTTTTAAAGATAAGATATGATAAAATACTTGTACCTGGAGGCTCCAACTGTGCAGTAATTTTGGCATATTTTTGCATGTTCATCTATACCAGCCAGCTTAAGGCAGACCTTTTGTCGGAAGATCGTATGGTATTCTTTGGGAATACCCCAAGTATAGACACAAGGGTAAAGATCCTATCGGACCCAAACCTTCCTTTGGCTAGACGAAAATCGTTGGTGTTGGAAGCTCGGGCGGCGAAACCGGCGTCAGGTCCGGCTTTTCCGCGAGAGTGGCCAAAAGAGAATGGAAGCCTTTGAACGGGTTCCTTGGCACAAACTGCTGAAGATCCTGATGAGAAGCTGCTGAAGATGTTCAATGTGTTGCGGTTTTGAGTAATATATTTGAGTTTATGCACACGCGAAGACCACCCGCACGGAAAGCACTTGGTGCTCCCCGAGTTGGGTCCCTGAACGATGTAGGGCTCAAAGGGTCAGAAGAAGTGAACCGTGAGGAAGAGAAGGTTATGGAAACACAGAGGTGCACCGAGTGGAACGCAGGTGCAGTTTTGCACGTAACATTGCAATGTTTCACATGTCGCCCGAACAAATGTCTCACATGCTGCATGTTTGTTTAAAACATCTACAAATAGTTTCATGTATACAACAATGAAGCATATGTGCATGCAGTAAAAATCCTGTAACAACTTGTCGCAAGTCTTTTGATTTATGGTGGGATATACTGGATCAAATTTGCAAAATTTGTGTATCCCCCCGTGGTGTTTGGAAGAAGTTCAAGCAGAGGGGAGCTCCTCCCAACGATTCCCAGTTCACCCACCTTTACAGTTTCAATTGTGTATAGGAGTCATTGGTCAAGACTGCAGTTTGCAGGGGTTGACTGCTGGGGTTGACTGCTATCTCGAGCATGATGTTCCAACATTGTTCCAACCAAGGACAGCAGCCGGTGCACAGCGATTTTTCACCTGTTCCCTCAGCTGAGGTCTGTGTGGCCCAATGGTACATGGGCATCAACCCTCGGAAGGCAGCGAAGCGTGGAATGTGGACGACTAGTGAATAAGACTCAGACCCTAGTTCCTAGTAACTTCTTGTGACTATAGTAGTAATACCCTTAAGTTACTACTAGTAGCGATGCACTTGTTCCTAGTAGCGATGCTCTGGGGCATTCCCATATGAAGATGGGATGTGTTTTAAAGTGGGGAGACTTCCCGGTTCGACCCAGTCTACCCATTGGGCCAGTGTTTCTCCCCTAAAAAACAGTGGGTTCAGAGGGCGCCCAAGTTCGGTGGTTCTACGACCTGCATCTGTCTGAGACATGCACGCCATCGAGACTCTGAACACCACATGTTTAGAATTACAATACACACCCATGCAATATCATTCTGCAAGATAAATCCCCTTTCCAAGATCTACCCTTCGAACGTATAGACCATCCATCATGGTTTACCGGTCCACACATCATCCTCCGAACCCCCGCCCCGAACGGCGGTGGTCGGAGACCCCGTGGTCGGGTTTCTTGTTCCTGAAATGGAAAAGCCGCAGCCCTGGTCGCAGAGATGGACCACCGGTATATGTCGGATTGCACCCTCTCTTTTGTCTGACGTCTCGGAGCTCTCGTCTTCCCTCGTGACTTCCGTCACACCTTGTTTTGGGTGTGGCACCAGGGGTGTTTCTCAGAGTCCGTGTTTGTTCATCTTCGGGGAAACAATGACAAGATCCTGAGCTTTTAAATATCATTGAGGGATCCGCACATCTATAATCTCTATATATATATATAATCCAACTGATGTCACCGATCTCCCAGTTCCTGTCGTACAACCAGGTCAATCGAAGTCTACGGCGTCTACGGAATTTCCTGCGCTTGATGGGAGTCCATCATGTAGCGTCGACGGTCCACCAGGTAGATGGTGCCCAAGGTCTACCCGGTATCAATTGATGGTGTTTCCATGCGTTTCCTCTCCCTAAACATTCCACTGGCACTCGGACACTGGACACTCGGACACTCGACCTGACCCAGGCGCTATATATAGTCAGTCACCCACTCACCGCTACCTCTCAGGTTCGGTCTGTGGATCCATCTGCTCCCGCCATGCACCGGTGAACTCGTTGGTCACACACGACGCGGGAGATCGCACGACCACGGCCGATTCTGCCAGGCCATGAAGTTGGCTGAGGATGTCATGAAGTACGGCCTCCAAGTCGAAGTAAATCTGCCTTGTTGAGACACCCAACTTTTACACCCTATATATATTAGTCAACCCTTGAAAGTACCGTTGAAAGACCATGTTAAAAAGATCTGGATTATGTCGCTGTGAAATCACGGTAGAACCATATGACCATATAACGCAATATATGACAATACCCTCCTGTCGGGGTGTCCTGGCTGGACTACCCCACACTACCTATAAGCCTCGATGGCCTGAACTGGCTCCATAGGGCTAACGTACGTTGCTGCGAGCCCCGCGAGACCGGAGCCCCGCGAGACCGACAGCGAAACGGCGGAGGTTGTGCCAAGAGCTGCGGTGCCGTCAGGAATCGGCGGCTCTGAGCGCTGGGGAGCCGAGAAAGGCGCCGCTGGCGCCAAAAGCCAAAACGAGCCGCGAGGGAGGACGTGAGCCGCGAGGTCGGTGTGTTTTTTTTTTCGGTTTGGGACGTTCTTTTTGGTTGCGCAGCTTCTTTCGGTGTGGGAGGTGGAGTTGGAGAACGAGGGGGGAGAAAGGAATGGGACCTTTTTTGTTGCACAAGAAGGTTTGAGGACAGTTGAGTTGGTTGATGGAAGCAAAGTACCTCTCCAATAAAATTGTCTACCAGATGGATCCATAATTGTGCGACCATCACTTTGTCCAATGGTTTATTGCCTTTATAATATATGAAGCATGCAGCGTCATGTCTTTGGTAAGTCTTCAATTCTGTTTGCTTTGGGAGCATCAAGGTCGGTCTTGGTTTTAAGATGTTGTTTTTCCCGTTGCGCAACGTATACGAAGGGTTGGTCAGAATGATCTGGCCGGCCCTTCCCTTGAAATCTCTCTTCATCCGAATCTTTCAGAATTGTGTTCTTTGCGATGTTAATTGTGTTTCAGAGGTCAATGTAGGTAAATATACCATACATGGAGTGCCTGGGAGTGTTTCATCATCTTTTCCAATGTTTTCGTTTTTGTTCTATATTCTTTTTTGAGATTTTGTTACTTTGATGACACAACCCTATCCTTTCAGTGGAGAACCAACAAGTGGAAAAGGCTCAAGCGGAAACAGCTCGAGGGTCCGGATGGGCCCTCCGACCCATGTCTTTCGCTGCCAACATCAAATGCTTGGCAGTCTGGTCCAATGGCCTCGCAGGAAAGCATCATTTTGGATGCTCCACATACTCCAGGACACTTGGTTTTAGTCTACTTCAGAGGCCACCCCGGAGTTCTCCAGCTTGACCAACCTACCTGGGTGTGTTATTTCCATAGGGGTCCTTTCAGGCATTGCGACCCCGTCAAAGAAGGAAAATCGACCAGTCTACCATGGGTTGGGTGCCTCCCTATTCAATACACACATCCAAGAATCTAATATCGTAGATCGATGTGTTATTGTGGACCAAGGTCTTAGTCCAAGCCCATCTTCAGCTGAAGGAGGGCCTGAGCATGTTTGAGCGTGGAGTTGAACAGGTCAGGAAGTCTTGGTGAAAAACAATCATGTTTGTGAATTTGGTGTTTTTTGTTCACGCAGACAACCCATGTAATCAACATTTGCACATGGGGGTTAACATGTTTGTGTTGGGCGACTGTAGACTAACATGTTCATGTTCAAAACTACCAGAGTGAGGATTGGCTCACTCTGTGACTTAGGGATGAACATAGAGATGAGCTGGTGGATGGTGCTTCCGCCTCAAATCCTCAATCCATCGTTTGAAGCGACCTGAAGTTTCAATCATGATTTTACTTCTAGTGATCCCCACCCTGAAAAGCGATTTGTGCAGATTGACATGATGTTCTGACGCTCGTTCTGGCATGAAATCTGATTTGCGCTCTGACACATCATCTATCATAAAGCCTGGGAAACGTTCTGGACTCTGTTCTCACATCTTTGTTGGCGTGTGTTCTGGCATTTTTCCTGTCTGACATGTGCTGTGACTTATGGACCAACTTCAGTCCTGGTATGTGTTCTGACATGTATTCCGACATTTGTTCAGGCATCAAAGATGTCCTGACACTCTATCTGGCATAAAATCAAACGTTCTATCTGGCAAACACTCTGAGTTCTATCTGGCAAAAATGCTGGCATTCTATCTACCACAACTGCTTGCATTTGATCTGGCTTCATTGCTGGCTATTTGGCATCTACTTTGCAAATACTTTGGCTTTCTATTTGGCATGCATCCTGGCATACAATCTGACATTATATCTGAGCGGTGCCCGATCGGGAGCTGGCGACTGAGGTCCGCCACTGTTCATTGTGATCTGGAGCTGGCGATTGAGGTCCGGCAGTGCCCACTGCGATCTGGCGCTTGCTGTTGAGGTCTGGTGGTGCCCACTGCCCACTGTGATCTGGCGCTTGCTGTTGAGGTCCGGCAGCATGGTGCTTTTGTGTTTGGTTTGGAGTTTGATGCAGTTTGATGCTATTTCACTTAAACCAAGGCTTAACATCGACGTCAAGTGGCTACCCACATGGAAGAAAGACATGCAGATAAAGGCTTTGAACATCGTGTGTCGTGCATCAGGGTTGCAACAAGTCTATCCATTCAAGGAGACAGAGACATCCGAGGTGTTGGTGCGTCTCTATAGGACATGGGCGCGAGCCTTCGGCAGACCCAAGTACGTGAAATTTGATGCCAGCCGATGCAATCTAGGTCAACCCTTTTTGGATGCTCTGGAAAGAGATGGGACCACACCATTAGATGTTCCTGGGGAGGCCCATGAGCAAATGGGAGATGTTGAGGTTCAAGGCAGGCACTTCTCTCAGATGTTGGTGAAGGTCATGGACCAGATGCAACCGGAAGATTATCCCCAATGTTTGGAGTGCATGGATTGTACCATTGAAGCCCAACTTATGAGGAGAGGAGGCTATAGCCCCAATCAACTCGTGTTTGGAAGGGACCCTGAATTTCCAGGAGATGATCTGTTGGATGATTTCAAATGGAGCCATTGTGGAGGATGCGATTGCCAATTTTTCCTTTAGGGCAAGACAGAAGGCTCGTGAATCAGTGTTGCAATCGTTGGATCATCGGGCTGCTCGCATCGCTCTCAATACAAGACCCAGACCAAAGAGGGAGTTTAGACCAGGGGATGAAGTCGCTGTTTGGAGACGGGGACGTGGCATCAAGAAGAGCATGGCTAGGTGGCGAGGCCCAGGCATTGTAGCAGGTGAGGCTGGAGGCAATTACTGGGTATCTATGCCAGGGTCATTTGTCAAATGCTCACCAAAACAATTGAGACTTCGAACGACTTCAGAGCGCGAGGCAGACCGATTTTTGGTCCGTGATATTAGGGCAGCAGCGGCACAGTTGTTTCCGGAAGTGGGTCACACAAAGGCCACTCAGAAGAACTTCATTGACATCACGAAAGATGATTTTCCTCCAGGTGACCTATTTCCAGATTCCGGAATGCAGAATGCCGCAGGCGAAGGGACTGAGAGACCAGAAGTCCCAGAACCGCCTGAAGTGCCAAATCCTCCACCGTCGCAAAAGAGCAGTGAACCCATGACTATTTCATCATCGCTGACTGGTCAGCTGAATCAGATGTCGGAGGAGGAATTGACAGCCTGGAGAGAGTCAGCCGACCGAGCTGACCGGCTGGATGGTCATCGCCGGCCCGGCGGACCTGGGAGAAGCTCAGCTGTGTGGAATCATGGGGGTACACGTCGATAGTGTTCTTTTGGGAGGAAACGGGGACCCTTTTGAGAAGTCAGTCGTTCAGCTCAAGACCAAGTTTCCATTCCGCAAGTGGATGAAGAACAGTGGTACATTTTGTGGATCTCAGCTCAATCAAGATCTTGAAACATTTGCAATACGGGTAAGTCAGGCAGAGTTTGCCGAGAGCATGACAAGACCCAAGCTGCGAGTCAAGGAGCCACCACATTTGACGGTCACTCCAGACGAAGCTTCATCGCTAAAATCAGTGCTGGGTGCTGGATTGTGGCTGGCAAAGGAGACTCGACCAGATCTCTCTGTGCAGGTGAGCAACAGTTGTTACCTGCACCTTTGTTGGGGGAAGCACGAACCGTGGCCAACATCACTAGGAGAGCCAAGCAACACAAGGATCTTTGTTGGAACATTCTACCGATTCCTTTAAAATAGATCAAATTGTGTTTACATACAGATGCAGCATTTGCAAATGCGAAGAGACAAGGAACACAGGCAGGATACATTGTTGGAGTGACAACGGAGGAGTTGAAAGCCGGGACGCCGGCGCCATGGAGTCCAGCAGTGTGGAAGTCGTATCGTTTGAAGAGGGTAGTCGGCTCAACTTTTGCTGGGGAAGCTCAGGCTCTAGCAGATGGATTAGGTCATACTGAGTGGCTGGCATGTCATTTGGCTGAACTCAAATCCCCTACGTTTAGTTTGGGCAGTCGACAAGACCATTTCAAAGAGTTCGGGATACAGGCCATCACTGGTTGCAAGAGCGTATACGACCATCTTCAAACCTACGCGTCACCAGGTAGCATCACAGACAAACGAGTAGCCATTGATTTGGTCATAGTGAAGGAATCCCTGAAACGGTTGTGGGGATCAATCAGGTGGGCACCCACCTGGTTACAATTAGCGGACGCCTTGACCAAAGAGAATGCAGACGCTATGGACATCCTCAGGGGGGCAATGAAATCGAACATATATCACTTGAACAATGAAAGTGTGATGTTGCAGAGTGCAGCGGAACAGCGGGCTCTTCGAGCACGCAAGAAGAAGACCCCGGAGGATTTTGGCTCAGAGGTGTGGTGGGTTCGAGACTTCAAGATCGTGAAGAAGATGGTGAAGATCTCAGCCAAGGGGCTCACCGAAGAAGTTCGGGCCTTGTTCGAGCTGATGGTGTCCAGGTTTACCAAGACCAGCGAGGAGTTCTTGGCACACATTTCACAGAGTCGGTCCATGTGTAAAGCAAAGCTGCCACTTCACATGGTGAATTCCAAGGAGTTCCGTGGAGAAACAGGTCTGGCAACATTCACCTATACCAAAACGACCCAGATGATTGCCGTGCAGGCCGGCGCAGCTCACTTGGACATGATCGAGGACACTATGAGCGATGTCATGGAGAAGTACGGGGCCACGCTGAAGGCCAATGAGATTCTCCCAATGCGAGAAGGCACGGGAGAATGGTCTGAAGCATTTCGAACGGTCGTACATGAGGGGCCTCACTCGCAGTTCATGGAGAAGGACGAGAGTGAAAAGAAAACGACAGGAGCGCCTTCGTTGGATGCCACTCAGGCTCTGACACCCCAAGATCCTCAGTTCGTTGCAGCCATTGCAGAGATGTGCCATGAAGGAAGCAGAAAGCTGCATGACTACCCAGCCTGGAAACAAAGATTCCTGCAGACGATGTGCCGGGACTTTGGGGCTGATCCCCAATTCGTCATGGATCTGAGCGGATTAGCAGGGCAATTTAGTATGGCAACTGACGATGAAGGCTGGTCGGTTCCG